GTTTTAATGTCATCCATGGTCTTCTGGTTTCCATGGTTTCTGAAGAAAAATCAGCTGTCAATCTTATTGAGGATCATATCTATGTGATATTTCTTACTGCTTTCAAGATTCATCAAATTTGGGAAGATTTTGGTCATTTTTTTTGTAAAAACTCTTTCTGCCCCCTTTCTTTCTGATTCCTTGTGGGACTCCCATATTATATATCTAATATTCTTGATAGTGTCCCACAGGTTCTTGAGGCTCTATCCGTTTATTATTATTATTTTTTCTTTCTGTTCCTAGACTGATAATCTCAATTGACCTAATTCAAGTTCACTGATCTTTCTTCTGCCTGTTCATATCTGCTGTGAGTTCTTCATTTCATTTATTGTATTTTTTTAAATCCAGAATTTCTATTTGATCTTTTATTATAAGTTATATTTCTTTATTGATATTTTTATTTGGTGAAACATTCTCATATTTTACTTTAGTTCTTTAGACATAGTTCCTTTGTTCTTTGAACACATTTATATTTTATTTAAGCCATTGTCTGGTGCTAAGGCCAATGTCTGGGCTTCCTCAAGGACAGTTTCTGTTGACTGCTTTTTTTCTTGTGTATGGGCCATACTCATTGGTTTCTTTGCATGTTTTTAAATGTTTTATTGAGCACTGGACATTTTAAACAATATAATATAGAAACTCTGGAAATCAGATTCTTCTTTCTCTTGGGGATTTGGTTTTGCTGTATATTGTTATTTGTTCACTAACAGTTCTAAACTAATACTACAAAATGTTTGCTCAGCTTACTGTTCAGCTAATAGGTTGGACAGAGAATTCCTTAAATGCCTGTAACCTGTAAATTTCCCAGGCTTCCTGCAGAACTCTGTGTTCATGTTGAGGCACACCTTCAACACTCAGGCAATAGACATTTCCTCCTTAGCCTTTGTTTTAGCTTTTACAGAGTGTCAGTGTTAGCCAGAAGTGAGAGCTTAGTGCCTTCTCATTTGTTTCTTATGCATGCACACAGCCTGGACATACCAGAATCCCTGTGGACACTTATTTACCTAGCTTTTTTTAGAAAAACTTTTTGCATAGCCTTGTTTGACCACCTCAGGCAGCCACAATCTTAAACAATTGAAAAACTCTAATTTTTTTTCAACAAATTCCCCCAGTGGAAAGGCTTGGGCGAGCTCCAAGTCAGGTTAATTGAAGACAGTTTTGCATGTGGGGTCTTCATGGAAACAAAAGGTCAGTTAATGACAATTCTCTAAGAATGAGGCTTTGAAGGCATGCCAATCTACCCCTCCAGTGACTGCGAAACTGCTGATACCACTGTGATTGTGGGTGATTGCTTTTCCAGGCTTCTTTGGAGCTAGGGAGATGGGGATGGAAACAGGGCAAGTTCAAATGCCATAAAGCTCACTGTTTTTACTATGATTCTGCAATTTTTCCTGAATAAAATGTGCTCCATATTGCTATAGAACTTTGGCTGACTTCAAGAGCTAAGTTGTGTTTGAAAAGGCTTCTCGGATACCCTTAATCTACCATTTTCACTGATGTCACTTGAATTGATTTTTGCATATTTTAATCCATACCTGTTTTTATCGTTTTTCTTGTTTTTAGGATTCTCCATATTCTTTGAATTTCATTAAGTACTTGTCATTGTGCAGGCACTTACTATGTATTGTTTTATTTTACTTCTAATCATGCATCAAATTATTTTACTTATACTACTGCCACCCCACCACTGCCACTAATACTGCTATTCATAATATAGTATATTCTATTATGTGTCCTAATGTGAATCATTGTATCAGGGAATGATGCTACTATATCATAAGTTTATGTAATTTTTTTCTTCATAAGGAGAGACAGATTAATGAAAATAAAATGGAAGTATAGCCTTCAGCAGAAAAGGAAAGTCCCTCAGTTTGGCTCTGGTTGCTACAAGAGCCTTTTGGTTTTATTGGAGAAAATTTAAAACCACACCTGCCTAGGAGGGTACACAGCCCAGCCTGTGGCAGTTCTTACTGCCTCCGATGCCCTGCTTTCTCAGAGCTCCACTTCCATCTGCATTGTCTGAGCACACATCTACCCTGATCTAATTAAATGTTGCATGTACTTCTTCTCTATTGTTTTTATTCATTTGTAATATCCTCTACACCAGCCTCCTACTACACTGAGTTACCTGCTTGAATAATCCAAGTTATAGTCCCCAATGCCAATTGCAGTTTGTGTTATTATTGTTAAGTACTCATTTGATAAGTTGTGTGAGTTTTAGTTGTTTTTAATTTTGGTTTGTTTTTTAATGATTACTAAGGGCTTTCTCATTCTTATATTCTGTAATTATGTTTCTAGACACAAGTTTCTGGAACAAATTCAATTTATTTTTTCCAAAGGCCTGGAAGAAGAATTCCACGAGAATGAATTTAGTGTGACACAGTGGAAAGAGGAAGTGTCTTTAAAATCAGATCTGAGTGTGTTTGGACTTGGGCTCTTCAATGTAGCAGATATGTGGCGTTGCATTAGTTAGGTTTCAAGTTTCCCATTTGTAAAATGGGTGTCATAGAGTGATTATGAAGATTCAGTAAAGTACTGTACATAAAGGTTTTACACAGTGACTGGCACAAAAGAGACACTCAATAAATGTTAGTTTATTCCCTCTTTTTTCAGTTTCAAGTGTTTGCAATCTTTAGGGATGACAGCTCTGAGCTGTCTAGTCTAACCCTATTCTTATCTACTCATTCTCTATAATTTTTTTTTAAACAGCTTCATTGAGATATATTTTACCTTTCATAAAATTCACCTCTCTTTAAAGTGTACAACTTAGTGATTTTTAGTACGTTCACAGAAGTATGCAGCCATCATCACAATCTAATTTTTGGAACATTTCCAATACCTCCAAAAGAAACCTCATCCTTATTAGCAGCCATTCCCATTCCTAGATGTTTTGAATGGTCTTTCCCAATCCTCTTATTCACTTAAGCTCTGTAATTCTTAGTGTACAGTTTTTGTAGATGCTTGTATTGCAGTAGCAGAAATGCTGATATTATATTTTGGGCTTTTGCTCTCATCACCAAAGTTGTTCTTTCTGAGGCGTCCATGACCTTTTCATTGCTCAATCAAAATAATGTTTTTTGGTCCTTCTCTCATTTGCTCCTTGTGTGGCATTTGTGTTGTCATCACTTTTTCTTTGGTGGCACTCCTCTCTTCCTGGATTGCTTTGAAGTCTTTCTCTCACAGTCTTGTCTTGTCCAGTTGTTCTATCTCAATAGCTGAGTTGGTCCATCTTACTGAAATACGGGTATTCCCAAATGTTCTCTCTATAACCTTCCTCCAGTGCTGGCTTAGAGCATTCTTTCATATTTTTATATGATATCATTTTTAAGTATATTTATTTAGTTCTAATTAGCACTTTGCTCTCCCATTGAGAATTTAAGTAAACCTGTTTTTTTACCTTGCTGACAACTTTAGGTTTTCTATTTTAAATTTATTTTTGCATGTTTAACTATAAGGTAGGCTTTGTAGTTACTTAGCTTGTAAGACTTTTGTTAGTTAGGCTAATTCCCAGGTGTTCAGATTCTGTTTTTATATTTCCTGTTCCTAGTTCATGTTTTCCATTGAGGACTAGCTGTTGTCCATGTATATATTTGTATATTATATACTCATATATTTCAGGAATTAAATCTTTATCTGTTTAGTCACAAATTCTTTTTATGATCTAGTTTTTGTCTCAGATTTTTTATTGATTAAAATATTTTAAAAATGCATTTCTAACTAAATCTACTTACAAAAGTATTTTTTTCAGTGATGTAACTTTCAAAATTATTTGTCAGATCCTTGTAGGAACATTCCCTGGAGCGCTGCACTGCAGTGCAGTGAGGAGAGTCAGTTGTCCCCTTCTTGACATGAGGAAGAGAAATTAAACAGTGAGAGAAAGTTGAGTGAAGAAACTTCATGATGATCCTTTTCAAGAACTTGAAATCCAGGCCTTAAATCTGTAGTTCATGAGGAAGCATTTATTGCTATTGTAGTTAAGGGATAGCTTCCAATTTTAATTGGATTTAATCCTATACTCAATTTTTATCAAAATTTTAAATTTTTAAAAATATTGTCAATGAATGAAGATCTGCAATCCTAGACATAAAACTTTACCTTTCTATACCTTCTTATCCCAACATGAAAGTACATGATGTGAGAGCCATGTCCCGCTCTAGGAATACGTGTCTGGCGCTCCTTCACAAATCCCCTTTCCTTCTCCCACTCTTCAAAGTAGGCTGTAGTCATGTTGTCCAGTGAAAGGGTCAAATGGAAAAGACATTTCTAATCTGGGTAGGATTCTACTTAAATGTTTAAGCAAGCACTTGTCTACCCTTTTGTTTGCTTAAATAAGTAAATAGCAAGTTAACAGTTCTCATTTCTTGATGCTTATATAAGTTTCCTAAGAACTTGGAATATATTTTTAACTTACATAGCATATCCGTAATTCCACTATTGCAATTCCAATTGTATAAACTAGGAGATTTTTTTAAATTTCCTTCTATGTCTATAATGAAGTTATTTGGGCCTTTGCTGTGCTTTCCTGTGAATGGTAAAGCTTCACAAGCATTCATCTCCACTAATGAGTAAATGTGTAACGCTGGCCGTGAGAGTGTAGCAGCAAATTGGCACTTAAGGCCTATGCATTTAAGGCCTTGGTAAGGAAGAAGACTGTTGATTTCCACTCCTGTGGTTAAGCCATTTAACCTGTAAAAAAGAGTTGTAATCACAATTTCAGAATAAGTCCTACAATATAGAGTCAACTATACTGTATAGTCTATGTTTCTGGTACTAGCATATACCTGAATATAATTTTTTATTGAAGTATTCTTTGAGATATATACCAAACCATTGTTTATGCCGATGCCTTGTCTTAAATTGGCTATGTGGAGTGTAAGAATTTAGTTTGAGTGGAATTATGTACTGCTGTGGGTACCTCTTGGTGCTTTGTGCATGGAAACCACCTAATGCTCTCTTTCTAGATGTCCAGGAGCTTCTCATCGGAGAGTTGCCCTAGAGAGAAGAAAAACTAGTAAAACTCAGACAGAGACTGAGAATGAGAATGGAACCACTATCCTAGATCTCCCAGGTACCCTATCACCCGAAACAGACTGCTCAGGGACAGGCACAGTGCCCATTGAGCGGAACCTGACCTCAGCCTCTCTTCCTGCATGGACTGAGGAGCCAGGCCTGGACAACCCTGCCTTTGAGGAGAGCGCTGTTGCTGACGGTATGTGCCATTTACCACTTTCTTTTGTTTTTCATGTTTTAAAATCAGACATTTGCTTCTTTCCTACTGTTCCCTATGATTTTCCCAATGTGCATTTTTCCTCTTTAAAAAATAACTTTATTAAGATATAATTTACATACCACAAAAATCACCCTTTTAGGTCTAACTTAAAAGTCTAACTTTTAAGTCTAACAGTTGGCATTTTAGAAACAGAACATGAACCTTACCCTGGAGGAAGGTGCTCCTTCTTACCTTTCCTCTGTTGTAGTCCATGAATTCACTAGTCGATAACATGCTGCTTCTTGTCTACTCATGTGTTCAGAAGTTTGTTGCTTCTTGACTAAGAAATCAATAACATCAAGCATGGCAAAAATAATACGTCAGATTAAGTGCTTACTCTGTGTCTGGCCCTGTACCAAGCACTTTACATAAATTAACTCATTAAATTCTTGTAATAATATTATGAGATTTTTTTTTTTTAAGGATGAGAAAACTGAGTCTTGAGAGATTAATTGGTCAAGCTCATACTGCCAATGAATAGCTGGATATCTGTCTGTCTTCAAGGCCACACTTGTGACTGTTGCTCTCCCCTGGTGGCAGCCACTAATCTGACTATACAACCTACCAGGAACAAACAGAAAGCCTGTAGTCCTAGATCTTGAGCATATCTCAATAGTTGGCTTTTAAATATGATTGTCTCTTATAAATTCCAAATGTTACTGAACATTTCCAATTTTCCCTGACAGAGTTATAACTTTTCTTCACCTCCTAAGGCTCAAGACCCACCTCTTCTTAGAGCTGATGTGGTTGCTCTCTCAAAATCTATGATGATTACATACCACAGAGTTAGTATTTTCTATATACTGCCTTGCACTCTTTACAGTTTAATGGTTCAGACTTTCTGTTATCAGTTAGGACAAGATGACATTCTCTTAATATTTATTTATCAGATCACTGTGTCTTCCCTAGTGATCTGATACATAGTAGCTATTTGTTGGTTATATACTGATCACCTTCAGAAGAGGAAATGTTTAATAATCTTAACATAGATATTTTTGTCATTCTGTTTTTCTTATCCAGTGGATTTGTCAGTTATTGATCATATGTTAACAGAAGATGACTTATTTACCAGAAGAACATCAAAATATAAAACATTTGTTTTCTTTTCATCTATTTTTCTCTCTCATTTTTAACTTGGCAGCCACACTACAGCCACCTGGTTTACCAGAAGGCGAAATTACCACGATCGAAATTCACCGTTCTAACCCTTATATTCAGTTAGGAATTAGCATTGTGGGTGGCAATGAAACACCACTGATTAACATTGTTATTCAGGAAGTCTATCGGGATGGGATAATCGCCAGAGATGGGAGACTCCTTGCTGGAGATCAGATTCTTCAGGTATCTATTTTAATGCTGTTAATTTGCACCTTTTTGTTCTTATTCATAAATTTAAAACTTGGAAAATTGTGGTACTGTGGAACCTGAATTATATAAAGATAAGTTATATAAAGTTAAATATAAGTTATATAAAGATATATAAAGATAGAATTTTGTAATTTCTCCTGTGTCCCCATATACATGGATTGTATTTTTTTCTTCTTACCTTGAATTCAGTCCCACCTGTGTAACACATTTTACACATGAGGAAGCACACTCCAACAAGTTACATGTCAGAACCAAAGATGCTAATTCAAGACTGTCATTAACCCTGTGTTCCTAACTGTTATTCTCTATTGAATGCTCATCATTGTACATTAATTTCAGGATTTTTTAGAGAGGATTTCTTTGTAAATAATGATTGTATAACATGTCACAATGTTAGTTTCTTTTCGAAATGTTATTTCTACAAAGTGGGGGGAAAAGATTGCCACATTTTGGTAATAATTCTTTTTTTTTTTTTTTTTTTAGGTCAACAACTATGATATTAGCAATGTGTCCCACAATTATGCCAGAGCTGTCCTTTCTCAGCCCTGCAGTACCTTGCAGCTCACTGTTCTTCGAGAGAGACGCTTTGGTAACCGAGCATATAACCATTCTGATGGGAACTCTCCACGAGAAGAGATTTTCCATGTGGTTCTTCATAAACGGGACTCTGGTGAACAGCTCGGCATCAAACTCGTACGAAGGACAGATGAACCAGGAGTTTTTATTCTTGACTTGTTGGAAGGGGGGCTTGCTGCGCAGGATGGGAGGCTCAGCAGCAACGATCGTGTGCTTGCCATCAATGGGCATGACCTGAAGCACGGGACTCCTGAGCTTGCCGCCCAGATCATTCAGGTAAACTTGAGACATACTCTCCAGATGCTTGGTTTTCATTACCATATATCAATATTTGTTTCATTGGCCAGTAACATAAGAATCTAGGGCATATTTTATTTTTCATTGGAAAAATCAAGCATGGCTGTCTAAATTCTTCAAAATCCAGTTGTATAACTTCATTATAGTTAGATGGAATCTTTTCTAAACACTGTGTTCCCTGAACTTTAGGCTGGTTATTTCTAGGGTAAAGTCTCTAAAGTTTCACGTCCATTTCTCATTGGCTCCCTAGGTTCCATCTAGTACTAGACATAACGGATGGTGTTGTCCACATTTAACAAATGAGAAAAGTGAGGCTCAAAGGAGCCATGATTACTAAGGTTCTGACTTGTCTCTTAACTTACAATAGATGGACATCATTTTTTATTAAGAATAACTCTTATCTCTGTAATGCCTTTTTTTTAATTTTAAGGATCTCTATAATGCCTTTTTTTTTAATTTTAAGGAATTTAAAGCATTTCAAACACATCATAACATTACTTCTCATAGTATCCCTGTGGAGAAAGTAAGGGTAGTTATTATAGAAAAACTATGTTGTCATAAGAACATTAAAATAGATAAATTAGAAAACCATCCAGAGATTTCAGGTTCTGTGACCTGCCATGGAATTCAGCCCAATGCAGGTACTGCCTACAGAGGTCAAGGTGAAACAAAAATGTCTTTTATTTTAAGCACAACAAAACACTATACAGGAAACCAAGCATTAATATATTTGAGCATCAGGAATTAAGTAGGTTGAGAGTCACTAAAAATGTGTATACTTCATAGGATCAAGTAACAATGAAAATTTAAGACTATAAGAAAATCCAAGTCTCAATCCTGTTTAACTTGCTCCTTTTTTTAACTTTCTGGTTCAGTGTAGCCTTACAGAAACACACACACAGAGCCATGTTGCATTGAGGGGAGATTCAGTTATTGGTCTCACTTCATAGACTTGAGATTTAAAGAAATTGCGTGCCTTGAAATTTCTTGAAATCAGAGGCAGCATTTGGACCTCCACCTGTGGATGCCCGTCAGCTGCTACACCAGTGAAGACAATTCCATCACGGAAGGGTCAGGGTTGGGAAAAAAGAAGAAAGTTAATCCAGTCATGGGACTTGTTAAAGGAAACAGGAGAGCTGAGTGGACTTTATAAAGTGAGAAGTCAGATCAGTAAGACAGAAAGAAATAGATTGACTCTATATATTTTAGGCAGTGTTAAAATACTCTATAATTCCAAAATAGATGGTCCTCACTAAATTTCTAACCAAAACCTGAAAAATGTAGATACAAAGGTAGAAAATACATTAAAAGTTTTTCACGATAATATGTTGTATATTTGGATTTTTATAATCCAAATAGTTAAATAGTTGCATCATGTTTCCCAAACTATAGAAAACTGAAGTTGCTCAATTTAAGTTTCTTTGTGAAAAAAAAATGTCTTAATGTTTTGGCGACTATAAAAATATGTACTCCATGTCTCAAAAAGAAAATCATAAAGACAAAGTATAGAAAATAAAGAAGGAAGTTGAGATCACATTCAATCTAAACACCCCAAGATATCAGCATTAATGTTTTGGAGAACATTGTTATAAACACTTTTTATATATATGTCCACAGATAAATAGGTACATATTTTCACAAATATTTAACACATGCACTCATCTTATAAATTCTAGTTTGTAGCTTTTTCTTTACATCAACAGTATGTTCTGGACTTATCATGACCGTAAATACAGATTTACATCATGATTTGTAATAGCTGTGTAGTAGGCATGTTGTGTTCATAACTTACATTTTGTTTTCAAGTGTAAGACCGCTTGCTTAACTTCCCTCCAGAAAGATCATACCAATTTAGACTTCCAGCAATGAGGCTTGCTACTTACTTATGAATTATGGGTGCTGTCACTTAGGCATCCTCCATTTTTAAAAATCTTATCTTTACCCCAACTCTTTGGCTGTGTTTGAACCCCGGAGTATCAGGTGTGCAGCCTGTTCAAAGTTAGTCTAAATGCAAATGTTGGTTCATCACTTAAAGGCTAAATGCCCACTTCCATGACATGCAAAGAATTTTGTCTTTTAAGCTGTCTAGGAAGGTCAATGATCTACTTCTGTTTAAAGTTTGTATAAACAGGGATTTTCCACTAAAGTTGAAATACTGATTTTGAAGTGTTTGGCAGTTATCAGGTATTAAGCAAAATGAAAATAACCCTATATATTGAAATGATGTCGCAAAGGGAGCATCCCACCACTTCACATGGTACGATCTAAATCATCTGAAGTGTCAGAATTGTAAATATCAAGATTCTAAACATTCTATTTTTTAATTTGTCCTTTAGTTTTTTAATTTGTCCCACACTCTGCTTTGGATATCTGGCTATGCTAAGCATCTTTCAGTTATTCTAAAGAACTTGCCTGGAACTAGTTTAATAAAATGTCTGAATAGGAAAGTGATTTTCAGTGGGTCCCTAAAGTTGGTTATCACTTATTTTCCAATTGAAGAACTAAAAATAAAGTAATTTCTTATCATTGTTGACTATAGCTATGGGAGAGTTCCCCTCTTTCTACCATAATTCCTTGAAAGTAGGCTTTCATATTTTCCGATAGGAATAATAATAAAATTGGGAATTTTGGTCATGACCAAGAATCAACATTAAATAAATTAGGCCTGTACATTAAATGCAAAGATAACATAATTTAAAATAAATATTAAGTAACATTTTAAAAATATACTAGATATGAATCTGTGTTTAAAATGTAGGTGTATAGATAATGGACCTCTAAATTTAAAATAATAGTCATAAACCTCTGAAGTAATTTACTATAATACTTAAGGATGTGTAGGTGGGTGTGTCATATACAATGCAGGTGAGTACATGTGATAAGATATGTATACCTTGTTATACAGGATCTCTATAATCCTTCTCTTTAGGACTGTTTAAGCTAATGTCCTATTCTAACTGAAACTTATCACAAGTAGAAACAAAGCTGTGCATTGTTTTGTTGAATATTACTTCCAAAGTAGCCACCATGAGATTATGTCAAAAATCACAAGGGATTATAATCACGTTTTGAATCAGTTCTTCCTATGTATCTTCTTTCCTTTGCTGTCGCCCTCTCAGTGCCAAGGCCAGTATTGAAGGGGCAAAGAAATATTTTTTAAAAATCAAGAAATGAAGGAGAGATGAAAACACAGGCAATTTTACTGCTTTGCTTGGTTATTTTGGAGGTAGGGCTGGGAAACGCATATCTAAGAGGGGTGTGTGTGGCGAGCGGGGGGCGGGGTGTGAGAGATATTCAACTGCAGAAGTTTTCAAATATTAACTCATTCGACAAACCCCTTCCTCCCCACCAGCAGGTGCTGCAGTCACTACCCAAGCAAGGCTCTGGTATAATGATAGTGCATTGGAAATTATACTTCCTATCATTTTTACAGTGAAAAGTATCATCAATGACCAGTGATAATGTCTGTGTTTTCTCCAGGCCAGTGGAGAAAGGGTGAATTTAACAATTGCTAGACCAGGGAAAGCCCAGCCTGGTAACACTGTCAGAGAAGCAGGAGCTCCGAGCAGCAGCCAGCACCATGCACAGGCGCTCTATTACAGCAGACCCAGCTCACATAAGGTGAGGTGTTCTGTGTGTGTGTTTTAATTTATCCACCCTCAAAAGATCATTGTTACAAGCTGGTAAAATTTAAATGAGGGCTGTTATTCTGGTGGAGAAGGAGAGCATGGATGTTGAGGATATGAAATGTACATGTCTTGCTGCCTTGGAGAGTGACTGTATTGCCTCAGTTCCTCAGACAATGGGAACTGTTTCTTAGTGAAGAAGGTCCTTCTGCCAGGTGTTTGATGAGAAGTGTTTGATCCTCCAGAAAAAAATTTTCTATAGTCCTGCTTGATAAAGCCCAACCCAAGATAGAGCCCACTTTCAAGCCTCCTCCAAAACTGCTCAGTATTCAGTCTGGAATTTCAATGCTTTATGAATAAATGATTAATAAAAAACCCTGGAGAGAGCAGATTTGAAGCAACTCATGGTTCATGCTTTTAACAAGAGACATGATGCTAAGGAAGTGATTTTGCAGGTTGGCTCTGCTCCACCATTGGCCTTAAGCGGCCCAGCACACCAACCCATGTGGCTGGTGTCTAAGCACTTGGGAAACAGCAAAGAACGAGTACCCTGCCCAGTGCGTGTCATGTTGCTTTCGGGCCTATTTCCCACACCTCTGTTCAGACATGCATTTTACATATGACGAAGGATGAAGAGCAGAGCATGTGCCAAAATTCTGTTTGTGTCATAAAGTTTGGGCTTTTTGTGGGGGCTTTAGTCCTGCTTGAATGTGGGCTTTATCTTAGGTTGCTCATTTAATGTAGCAGTTATCTGAAAAAGCAAAATGAAGACTGTGAGGGACAGGTCTATACTTAGCAATTGAGCAGGCTGCCTACAACAACAGAATTAGAAATAAATCATACATTTTGATAGGTACTAGTATAGCACATTTCTTTTTATATTATAGCTTATAGGAATATTACCCTAAATTATTTTAAATTCCCATATATTGAGCATTTTTACAGCTTCTTTTAAGATTTCACTGTTGTTATAATATATTCCTAGGACATGTATACCTGTACTGAGAATTTTGATACTCTCTAACTTTAGTTGCAAAAATCAAAAAAAGGTGGTACTTTACTGCACTTTTTATATTATTTTCTTCATGTGATCCTGCACTTGAACTCAGGTTCTGATAGGCCAGGATTTTTCAACAATGATGTTCACCCAACTATGTGAACATATAAACTAAACGTGAGCTTCCAAAGTCACTTTCTCTTAAGTGAAATTAAATTGCTTTAGCAAACAAAAACTTATTCATTGGTCTGCTTAAAAACCATAGAAGTTCCCTGTGTGCTAAGATGGCTTTTTAATGTTAAGTTCAGTATTTGAGAAAGTGATTACCTCTGGAATGTCACAGGTACCCTAGAAAGCATTGCTTAAAGACAGGACTATTTTTGGCCCATCAGGTTTATCTAGTTTTCTGAGCTTAAGTACAGACTTGTACATTGGTCTTTGGTTTGTAATACTTACATGAAATTATAACCACAGACTCTGTTCTCATTTCTGAACAAAAACCAAAATGTATCAAGGAAACCTGTAATTTTGCCTTCATAATGATGACTATGAAAAAGGAGTTAGTGTGTTGAATAGGAATCTTTAATAGGAATTGTTTCAGATAGCTTGTCCTCGCTTTACAAGATATATATTCCTAAGAATTATACTATAAGCCAAAAATTGATTATTGAATCTTTTCTTTCATTGAATTCTACAATAATTTGAGATATGGGTGTCTGACATTGTACTTTTAAGACATGAAACAATTTTAAAAACTGTACTTAATCATTTCAACATTCATATAGATAACTGCTTACTTCATTTTGTTTGGGGTACATATGTTTTTTTGTTTTAATTCTGCTAATTCTTATTCTCTTTAATTTTATGTGACAATGTTTTAAATTGCAATGCCAAATTTATTCTTGGTCTAGGTTCTCTGCAAAACTTGTTAGGTAGAACAACCACATGAAATGTACTTCTAAGTGTTAATTTAGCTATTTACTATTGCATTTGTTATGTAAAATTCTGATTTAGTAAAATAAAAGTCTCTCAGGAGAAACAGACGTACAAATTCACCAAAACAACCTGTTCAGATGTTTATAGTCATTAAAAATAAAGTATACAGTGGTTTGTTACTACATTTCTTAGTAGCTGTTTGGCTAAACATTCATATGGTGTCGAATCCTGAGAACTTTCCTGGAAGCTTACTGAGTATAATCACTGAAGTTAGATTTTGTCCTGAGGGAAACAATGCATTCATCTCAGCCCTCAGAGCAATAAAATCACTACCCTTAAATGATGAAATACCTGAGAGCAGAAATGCTTCAGTCAGTACACACAAGGTTGAGTTCACGTGACTTGTCTTCATATTAAAGTGGTTTGCCCAATTTTAAAGGATACTAACAGATTCCATACCTTTATATAGGAGATCACCTTAAGACATTTACAAGTGTTCTCTTAGGTCATAACATTTTCTAGGAATGCTCTGCTGTATTACAGATAGTTCCCTTGATAAAATTTCAGGAGTGCAGGGATTCCAGGACCAGAGTTAACAGATATATGCAAGGCAACTCTGACTTTATGCCTCTAAAGGAAATGTTAAATTCTGTAAATATAATTCGTGTACTTCCATTGTTATCATTTTTAGTAACATTAGTGTAATTATTTCATTATCTGCAACATTCTCTTATAGTTGGTAAGTGTTATGAGACCTTAGCTTCTACTGTTCAATTTACTGGGATAGTACCTGTGTGGTGCAGGTATATATAAGCAATAGATATACATAGTGCATTGTACTATGTGTACATATACAAACCCTATGTTAATATATATTTTTTACATATTTTTATATGTGAGTTTACATATATAAAACTCACATCAGCCCTGGCTGGTGTGGCTCGGTGGACTGATTGAGTGCCAGCCTGCAAACCAATGCGTCGCTGATTTGATTCCCAGTCAGGGAGCATGCCTGGGTTGCAGGCCAGGGCCCCAGTACAGGACATACAAGAAGCAACCACACATTGCTGTTTCTCTCCCTCTATTTCTTCCTTCTTTACTCTCTCTCTAAAAATAAATAAATAAAATCTTTAAAAAAAAACAAAAACAAAAAAGATCAGTTCAAATTCCAGTGCAGCCACTTAGAGTTGTATGATTTGGGGCAAGTTCCATGATCTTTCTAAGGTTGTTCCCTTGTCTATAAATGGGGACATTGTGAAAAGGAAGTGAAATAATGCATGTAAACCTATTAGCTTTGCACATAGTAAACCCTCAGTAAAAGTTAGCTATTGTTATTTTAATGTTAATATCAATATGTATACCTTGTTTTTTTATGGATTCTAATTCAGGAAAAAAAAAAGGCGATGTATTAATCTTTTCTTCCAGGAGTGTCTCAGTAATAAGTGGCAATAACAAATGCCACTAAAAATAGCTTTCCCTTGAGGATATAGTTTGTTGGGAATTTATTTCCCTGTCATTAACTTATTTAAAAATTTAGTTATTTCATATCCTTTTAGTTTTTCGTGGTTTTGAAGGTAGATTTGCACCCACTTCATGACAGATTATTCTGATAATCCTCATCAGTAAGAATCAGAAGATAGGTCTGTAGCTTGTTTCTGGCAGTTGGCAAAACACTTTACTTTTGTAGTAATCTGTCAACTTTTCTTTCAAAGAATATAAAAGAAAGATGGAAGAAAAGTTAATTGGCTCATCTTAAGGACCTTAAAACTCAAATGCATTACTTTTATAGAATTATATAGAATTAATTATATGTTGGAGTTTAAGGTAACTAACTATACACATGATGTGCCTATTTTACTTTAACCTCCATGTGTCAACAGCCCTGAGTTGTTTCTGTTTCATAAATAGTCATATGAAAATACAGTAGTCCTAAGTTTGACATAGTGATCCACAGTGATCAGTGTAGTGTTTGTACCTATGAAGAACTGTGTATCACTTTCAGTTCTATAGTAAGGGATTAAAAAAAAAATGACTTACAGTTGCCATACAAGTTTTTACATTAGTTTACGCTGTTTTCCTTGCTGTATATAATTCATTCCAGTGAATATATTCAATGAATTTTTTTCTCTCACAATTTAGGATCTTACCCAGTGTGTTACATGTCAAGAAAAACACATTACTGTAAAGAAGGAGCCACACGAATCCCTTGGAATGACAGTCGCTGGGGGCAGAGGAAGTAAGAGTGGCGAGCTGCCCATCTTTGTGACCAGTGTGCCGCCTAATGGCTGCCTTGCACGCGACGGCAGAATCAAGAGAGGTAAGATAGACTCTTCAATAACTTCACCACATCTTCTCCCTGAATTCAACTTTTGTACTTAGAGAATATGGACATGACTTTTTTTTCCTTTGAAATGTCCTTTGCATATGTAAACAGAGAGCCGAAGCCTGACATTTTCTAACAGTTATTCAGACTGTTGGATTATTTTACATTGGAAAAGACTCTTCAGAGATTTCTGTAGCCCATGACCTGCAGGCTAGAGTCTCTGAAGGACCATCTCCAAAATACAAATGTTGCTCAGAATAAAGTGGGAGGGGTTCACAAGGGACAAGAGCAGAAGACACATTTTAAAAGGTAGTGAGTGGGTTTAGGGATTAGCACATTTACAAGTTCATGATCCACATGAATACTATATAATTTCAGTAATAGTGGTGGTAGGGATAAAAACAACATTCTTCATACACTGGGTTGGTTCATGTGGAAAGGCAGTCTTAAAAGCTATTTTTCCAACAGTGAAATTGGATTCCTACCTCACACCACATACAAGAATTAACTGATTATGGATCTAAAACCTAAATGTAGGATCTGCAACGTTTAGCGAAAAACATAAGTGTAAATACTCATGACCTTGGATTAGGGAATGGTTTTCTTAGACATGACACCAAAAACACAAGCAACAACAAAACAGATAAACTGGACTTCCATCAAAATTACAAATTTGATGGACACACACCACCAAGAAAGTGAAAAGATAACCCACAGAATGGGAGAAAATAATTGTTAATTGAGTGTCTGATGAAGGACCTGTGTCTAGAGTACCTAAAGAACTCTAAATAAAAAGGTAAATAACCCAATTGAAAAATGGGCAAAGGATCTGAATAGACATTTCTCCAAAGGAGATATACAGATGGCCAATAATCATAGGAAAAGATACTCAGTGTCATTGGTTATTAGGGAAATGCAAATCAAAACCACTTCGCATCCACAATGATGAACATAATAAAAAAGACAGGCAGTAACAAACATTGGCAAGGATGTAGAGAAATTGGAACCTTCATACATTGCCAGCTGTACATATAAAATGGTACAGCTGTTTTGGAAAACAGTCTAGCAGTTCCTCAAAAAGTTAACATAGTGTTACTGTAAGATCTAACAATTCTGTTCCTGAATAAATGAAAATGTGGCACCACATAAACTTGTACGTGAACTTTCATAGCAGCATTTTTCATAAATGGATTCTACTGAATGGATTAATATAATGTAGTAATATGATGGATTAATCAGCTACTGAATGGATTAATATAATGTAGTAATATGATGGAATATTATTTGGCTCTAGGAAGGAATGAAGTATTGACACAAGTTATAGTATAGTTGAAGCTTGAAAACATACCTGTGGAAAGAAGCCAGTCATAAACGACCATGTGTTGGTTCCATTTAGGTGATATGCCCAGAATGATCAGATTTATAGAGATAGAAAGTAGAGTAGTGATTACGTAGGGCTGATGGAAGGGAAGTGACTGCTGTTTGGTACATGTTTTCTGGGGTCATCGTCAGATGATGTGTGATAATTGCACAACTCGGTGACTGTACTAAAAAACATAAAATTGTAACTTTGAATGAATCAATGTTATATGAATAATATTTTAATAAGACTGCTATTTTTTAAGTTATTTTTACAATTCTAGAATTGGGGGTAATTGTATTTCCTTGTTATTTATTATTTTTTCTAAGTTTCTACAATGAGAATGTTTTGCTTTAACAGTCTGAAAAATAAATGATGTTTTGGGAGAGGAGGGTTTTCTGTAGGCTTTCTTGGTACAAATGTGTGTGCTTCCTACAGAAGTAATCCTTTCCTTCCCAACCTTTTATTTAGTCCTCATTGCCCTTGTTGTTATATTTCTTGACAGAGGAACAATTACTTGTTTTCTTTCTCAAGCAAGAGAAGATGTTCAAACCACAAGTTTCATTTCTTTGTGTGGGCCCAAGGATATCTTCTTTCCATATTGTGATATGATTGCACTGAGGGAACTATGCAGGGCTGTCTTTATGTATAAAACTTTGTAAATATAAAATGGAATAGGAAAATTAATTCCTAGATGCAAACTATCAAATAATTTTTTCATTGGAACAGTAGAAATCACTGAATCTTAAAGAAGAGAATGTGCCAGGGCCTGTACCCGGCTAAACCTATGACATGCCAGGGCTAAGGGCTTGGACTTCTAGGTGAGTCATGGTGCTTCGAGCCACACTTTTTCCCATATACTATGAAATTATTTTAAATTTTTGAGTTGTTTTGGAATGTTTTCCATGGATTGGATTTTTTTCAGTATTATAAAAATCACAAATAAGTAAAAAAAAAAAAAAAAAAATGGTCCTTTGAGTCATTGAAACTAACTTTTGTTGATTAGTTTACCAGTAGGAGAATTTGCAGGAAAATAATCACTTGGTAGGTTGGCTCATTTTTTATTTTTTTATTTTTTATTTTTGTCTCATCCTTTGAACAGGGGATGTATTGTTGAATATCAATGGCATTGATTTGACCAGTTTAAGTCACAGTGAGGCTGTTGCTATGCTGAAAGCCAGTGCTGCATCCCCCACTGTTGCCCTTAAAGCGCTTGAGGTCCAAGTTGTTGAGGAGGCCACGCAGGCCGCGGACGAGTCGCCAAGCACGTTCAGTGAAAATGAGTATGATGCCAGCTGGTCCCCATCGTGGGTCATGTGGCTTGGGCTTCCAAGGTACTGACAGTTTTTTTTGTTTTATAAAATAATCATAATTACAACGTTTATTAGTGTGGAACCCAGTAAATTCACTCACTGAGGGAGAGGAAGAAGGCTTTGGTTAGACAAAAGTAGCAATATGAAATCAATTTACAAAAGAAAATGATACTTTTTCTTAGGTGCTTATCATTAAAAGGTAAATTTAGTAATAAAAATGAATCTAAAAATACATAACTGTTTATAAAAATGAATAAAGTCATCTGTCCAATTTCTGTTAAGGCTTGTAAGTAGGCAGCCATGAGATGGGACGTTCAGTCTCCTGCTCAGGAAAGCTGTCATTGTTGGCGTTCATGCTGATCTATGCTTAGCCTTCACTATGCTTAGTGTGTGAGGTCAAAGCGTGGGGCCTTGTCCTCTCCCAAAAGTCTGTCTAAAAGCCCTTATTCCTAATCCCTTTAACTCTCCTAAAATAGCAGGGTGTAAAGCTCAGTTTTTATTGGACATAAGAGTCTTAAGCCCAGCCATTGGAGTTCAAGAGCAGCTGCTCTGAACCATATTTCTGAAGAAGTCGCTGCTTTGTGACTGACCAGCCAAGGTATTCTGAACTCAGTCAGTGTCTGGTCCTGAAAGCAATTGGAACCTCCAGGTGATTGTTGAGTAGTTTGATATTGAGGTGGGAAGACTGTACGTTACCATCTTTGTTTTCAAATCAGTTTAGATTCTTAACATATAAAAGAATCTTAAACCTGAATGATGATGAAACATTTTGACTCTTAACAAAGTATGAAAATTACTCATTTAAAATAAAAATAAACAATAAAAATGTGCCATTTTCTGGGCTTCCTAGCTTTATTTGTAATGAATTTGTAATAACTAGAATTTGTATAGTGCTCTGTGGTTTATAAAGCACTTTCACAGAAAGAACAACAAAGAAACAAGTATATTATTGGATTATTAGATATCGTTGGATTATCCAATTGGATTATTAGATTATTTGTTCATAATCTAACTTGCTGACTTGTGTTGTTGGTTAAAAAAAACAGAGGCCTAAAATTGTAGTAGAATTCATATCTCAGGGACCTGTAGGGACCTTGCATGTGGACCTTATGGAAAGAGATTTTTTTTATGACAAAGATGATTTAACTACTTCATATCTGTTTATTCCATGCAGCAAAACTGAAATAGATTTTTTTTGTTACTGTTTTCTGGATTGATTTTCCTATTTTGTCAATTAGAGTCCCTCTTTAAATGAAAGCATTTTAGGTGAAGAAGGAAAAAACACCCAACTTTTAATCCCTTGTGTAGATTAAAAAGAGGGATCTTACATTTTGGGGGAATCTGCTCTACTGCTGATTTCTTTCATCTGAATGCTGAAGTCAGCAGGGCTGGACCCGCACACCGCCTTTAAGTAGAGGCGTATTTTGAAGATACAAGTGGGTATCGGATCAGAGGACATGGCAGTGCAGGGAGAAAATACAGGCTCAGAACCCTTTCTTACAAATTTCTGATGTGTAACTCATAACCAGGTTTATTTAAACCCTCTGTGTGTGTGTATGTTCGCTTGGGAAGAGAAGACTGAACAAAGTGAAAGAAATTTGAGTCTACCTAGGACTGCATCTGTGCTGGAGAATGGGTGGTCAAAATAATACATTCAGAAGGAAATAAAGTAGCCCTTTTTCTTTGTAAGTATGACATGGTATAGAATTGTAACAAAGATGAACAGACTGTAAAAAGCCTCCATAAATTGTTTCCTGATGTTTGTGTTTGTTTATAGTTCCCTTCATAGCTGCCATGATATAGTTTTACGACGAAGCTATTTGGGAAGTTGGGGCTTTAGTATTGTTGGTGGATATGAAGAGAACCACACCAATCAGCCTTTCTTCATTAAAACCATTGTCTTGGGAACTCCTGCTTATTATGATGGAAGATTAAAGTGAGTCTTATTTTATTTACTGATGTGATTCATGTTTGTTGTGATAGACACGATCTAGACCAGGGGTCAGCTCCAAATGCAGCTGTCTGTTCTTGTAATTAAAGTTTTACTGGAACATGGCCACACTTACTCATTTACATGTTGTCTGTCACTGCTTCTGAGCTACAGGGGCAGAACTGAGTCATTGTGACAGAGACCGTATGATTGGCAAAGCCTAAAATAGTCATTTACCACCTGGCCCTTTGCAGAAAAAAATTTTCCAACCCTGATCTAGACTGAAGCATCATCACCTTTACCAACTTGCCACTCATAGCCCTATTTTGCTCATCTAATGACAGGACTGAACCTAAGTCCTTGCATTGCACATATCGTGATGTAACTAGCTCAGAGCAGTCTTGCCACGCAGCTCAGAGCAGTCTTGCCACGCAGCCTGTCATTAGATGACTCTGCTTTATTTTTCTCCACAGCACTTAAGTCTACCTAACAATATATTTATGCAAACTACTCAGAGAAGGGGGAAAGGGTTTTGTTACATTTATTGTTACATCCCTGGCAGCTAGAACCCTACCTTGCATATATAGTAAGGTCTCATTAAATCTTTAATTTATTATTTCTTAAAATCCTCACCTGAGGATATGTTTTATTGATTTTAGAGAGAAGGGGAAGGGGAGAGAGAGAGAAACATCGATCAGTTGCCTCTCATACATCCCCTGACCGGGAATCAAACGTGCAACCTAGGTATATACCCTGACCGGTAATCGAACTCCCAACCTTTTGGTGTACGGGACAATGCTCCAACCAACTGAGCCACCTGGTCAGGGCTCAATAAATATTTGATGAACAAATGTGTGATAGTTGACAGTGTACCAGGCCCAGTAAAAAGTGCTTGTGATTGATTGTATTATTGAATCCTCTTAACAACCGTCTGAGGTGTTTTTGGTGGTTTATTCCTGGCTTATAAATATGATAACTAAGTCTTAGAAGGGTTAAGAAACTTGCCTGCAATCAAATAGCTGAAAGTAGTTTGACTGCAGTTCAAACCCAGGACCGCCTGGCTCCATAGCCTTTCCCATTCACCTCCCTGGCAGTTGTCACCACTGGCAGAAAGGATGCACTCAGTCTGCATGCAGCCTCTTTTCTTTTTCAAAGCTCAGGTGCTGGGAGAAGAATGAGGTGTTATATCAAGAAAGTATACAGAGAGGAGGTGGGTGATTGTAAGTTCTTAACGCCTAGTTTTTGATGAAGGAACCAGTTGTCAAAAAGTAAATGTTGGCATCAAATGCTGCACAGCTGGAGAGTTTACAGTATTTGGGAACAGACAGTGACATCAAAATAAAATTATGAGAAGTTGATAAGGATTGGTATGCTCCAGATCAGTCTTTTACCATATTATTTTATAAAATGGAAAGCATTATTTTATGAGGAAAGAGTAGGAGAAAATGAATTAACTATTGTCTTAGCTAAATTAACGTGTTTGGGTCTTGGTTAATTTGTTTATAATTTGCATTCCACCTACTTCCAAAGAGAAATTAAGATAGCTAACGATAAAATAGCATATTCATATTATAAAGACCAAAAATCATAAAAGATTAATCACCTAATTATATTTTGTTTATGCTTGTATGAAAGTTATCTTCTTGTCCTTGAAATCACCCACCAGTTACAGCAGAGGGTGGCACAGGGGTGTCCTTGATTGGTCATGGAAAACCAACAGAGGCTCAAAAAATCACTCCAGATGTGTCTCAGAGTAGATAATACACCTTCATCATTGACAGTTAAGTGAAACTGTGATTTTCATGCTAAAAAATTCAGGGTAATGGTTTTAACACTATGAAAATCATGACAGTCTGTTTGTGTTTCTGTCTTTCTGTCTGTCTGTCTTTGTCCAGATGTGGAGATATGATCGTGGCCGTGAATGGCCTATCAACTGTGGGCATGAGCCATTCTGCGCTAGTTCCCATGTTGAAGGAGCAGAGGAACAAAGTCACTCTGACCGTTATTTGCTGGCCTGGCAGCCTGGTGTAGATTTTGAAATTAATTTTGAGTTAAACATCTTTCCTTTTTTAGGTTTTGGAAAGAAAACCCTTTCATTTTATTGTGTTTCTAGTTGTTCAGAGCTGCTGACACAGCTGGTATTTGCAGGGCCCAAAACCACTAACGTGTTCTTCTGTTGTTGCTTAAGTGGTTTTCCTCAATTTAGCCACATTTCTTTCATCTTGGAAACAGTCTTCTAATCCTGTGAGTTTATATTTTCAAAATGTGACCTATAACAATGAAGTCTGCCCAAACTGTGACCCAGCCAGCTAGATTAGAGGACTTCTGGTGGCTCTTTGTTTTCACTGACCAAGTCATAAAATGAGTTACACACACTCAAGACCAGTGTCAGTGAAGGGACTAGCAGTGACATATGCTCTTGCTGATGTACCAATGCTGCGAGTGGATACCTTTTAAATGTGGATGGTAACTGTCTCCCATTTTCCATAGGTGCCAACATTTCACAACTTCATGCTGTTTATAAGGAGATTTTTCTTGCTCATTTCTTCTTTAATCTCTCAGTGTTCATAGATGATGAAAATAGAAGTTTAACACCACAAAAGAGATTTATAAAAAATAACATACCATTATTAGAATAGTAGAGAATAAAAGATAATTTTACCCAGCAACAGGAATTTGGGAGATAATTATAGTTTACTGCTCGAGATGGTAAAAGCTGCATTTACTTGAACAGTCCAAAAGCATTAAAGATTCATTTCCAAAGAAATGTTTTGTGTAGGAAAATTTTGAAGCAGTCTTTGCTGAGAATTATTTTCTAGAGTTTGTATTATCCTTCTATCAGCAAACTTAGGGGGAAATGTTTCAGTAACTTATGCAATTACATTAGATGGTAAAGCTAAAACCATATTGCTATTCAATACACACTCATATATCAGTTAAGTAGAAGCTAGACATTTTTTATCTTATTCTGGTGAGATTCTTGAGTGTTCTAGAAACCCTTACTTTCCCCCGTTATTTCTTTACTTATGAATGTAATTATTTTAAGAAAAAGTGAAAAGTTCTATGTTTTTTTAAATCTGAAATACTAGGTTTTAGATGTGAATATCTTTCAATCAGTTTTTGGTCACTTAGGCTATTTCATATTTTTTGAGATGTTGTGGAAACTATGACCAGCCCATTTTGTGTGTCTTTTATTCAATATGGTTGTCCTTTGAACACATAAAGAAGTGAATAAGAGAAAGATATCCTTACATTATTAATATTATACATACTTGAAAAAAGTTTCATTAGAAACCTAGTTCAGAATCTGAGCTAATTTACAAGTGACCTCTGTAATAAATGGTATTGATGAACAGAGAATGTATTTCAAAACACTACCATGTATTATGAAGCATGACCACTTTGTTTTCAAACTTAGCAGTTGTATTGCTAGGGTTCATTGTATTCTAGCATGTCACTGATTTTTTCCGGTTAGTTTTATAATGATTTTTTAAAATATATCTCTTTTAAATAAATAAGAAATGGAAACAGCAATTGTTAATAATTTGTTCAACCCGTTAGCCACACTGTAGTTGACAGATAACCAAGATACAGTGGAGTGCCCCATGCAGTATATTACTGTTACATCGTGATTGGCTTTGGAAGCAGTTTGATAGTGAAATGCTTTGATATTCAAACTGACACATAACAAGTTCTTTCCTTACTCTCCAAGTAGAATTTTGTAACCCACTTTGCTATTTTTTTAAACATTTTGTAAGAATTTGTCATTTATTGGGGAGTGGCCGTCCATCAACAAATATCCTAACTGCTACTTTGTTATATATAAAATACTTTTATTGAACCCAATGGTATAATTATTTTGAAAGAAGAAATTTTTTTCAATACTATTCAATATTTTTATCATGGAAATCTTGAAACCAGCTTAAGCTAATTTTGTTTTATTACAAAAGACTATTGCTTTTGGTCAGAACTATATTTGGTGATGAAAACTTGTTTATAATTTATTGTTACTGTTGAAATATTTGAATTTGAATTTTGTCATTTGAAGCTTAAGTAGTTAAATATTTCGATTTGTTCTGTGCCTTCAGTTTAAATTATTTCAGGATTTTTTCAGATAAGTTTAAATAATAATGTGATAATCATTCTTGATGGGAATAAACGTCATCATTTCTGTAATAGCAACATTGTATCTTTTCTGGATCAGCAGATGTTGATTCAGTGTGTGATCCTGATTTTTGTTTGTGGCACCACTGTTGTCATTACAATATCCCAGGCTTGAAATCCCAGGATCACAAATCCATCTTCTAGTTCTCATTCCTGGAGGCAGAATACATAATGATTCCTGCTGACTCTTGGAAGTTTCGCCTGTGCAGTTCCCCTCGACCTGTGGCTACTGAGGACCTGCCTGAAAGGCGACTAGTACTGATGTTGAAATGATAGTACCTTGGATATATTGGATTATATAAAGTATATTGTTAAAATTAATTTCACCCATTTATTTTTACTTTTTTAAAATGTGGTTGCCAGAAGGCTGTGAATGGCATGCGTGACTCACCTGGTGTTTTTCTTGGACAGCAGCCGTGGTTTCCTCACCTTTTCGTTGTCACAGCACTTACCAGGCCAGGTGGTCCTGCTGTGGCTTCACTTCTTCTGGAGCTTTGATCATTCCCTGCATTTAAAAAAATTTTAATTAAAAGAAAGAAACTTGTCCCTTGGATTTTTAGTAAATTAAGTTCAAATCAAGACTACTGTGTCTGACTCCTAATCTGGTTTTTCAGACAACTCTGCAGTCCCATTTAGGCCTTGATACTCCAGCGCACGACTGTCAGTGCTGGCGCCATACACACGCTTACGAGTTCTCTCTGCCACGTGCCCGCAGTGCTCTCCCTCTGCGCACCTCACATGGGCCCATATTTGGAGATGTAGTTTGAACACAGCCCCAACTTAGCTCCCTTTACCTCCGCTTCCTACTTTTAAGAGAATATCCTCCTTGTGATGGGATGTCAGCCAGCCTTCATATTTGTACAAGGAGGGGAACCCCAAAAATTGGAATTATCTTCTGGAGGTCAGGCCCCTTGTAGGACAGGCTTCCCCTGCTCGGTGAGTGTTCTAGGAACCCATCTGTGTCAGTGCACCAGCTGATGGTGGTGTAAGGAGAGCATTCAGCTTCAGTGAATTTTTTTTCTTTTAGCACATTTACCCATTTCATGATGGGTGATTTACGAGTGCATCTGCCCACACTGCACTTGAGTGTTCAGCAGTTTTGACCAAAAACAACATGACCCCCATGCCCTACCCTCCCTATTCCCCCAATCTTGCCCTGAGCAAGATTTTTTTTTGTTTCCCCAGATGAAAAATCCTTAAAGGACAATGTTTTGCTAATATGGAAGTGGTGAAATAAAAAATGGCAAAGCACTGAAAGGCTTCAAAATTGATGAGTTTAGAAACTGTATTGAGCAGTGGAAAAATGTTTTGGGTATATTGCATCAAATGGAGAGTACTTTGAAGGTGAGAAGTTTAAATATGAAAGAATAAATATACAATTTTTTATAAATAAATTCCATTTTGGGGGGTTCCCCATGTGTATTATGGCTGACACCTTTTACCTAATTACTGTCACAATGTTAAGTACCATTTTTGACAGCCACCTTGCAATTCTAAATACCATCGATGCCCCGAGTCCGTAGCTCTCACACTCTGTAGCCTGAATATTCTATTGCTTTAAGGTACCTCATCTCAGTTCCCCAGATTAACAATGTATCCTCAAGCACTGGCCTACTTACACTCCCATCTTTCTATCTAACTTCTTATCAGAGTAACTTTTCTAAACTAACAACATCACTCTGATCATATCGTTGCACTGTTTAACATTTGTTCAGGGGTTCTCCGCTGCGCAGGAGGAGATCAGAGGGCTTGGCATGGCATAAAAGGCTCCCCCTGACATGGCCCCTGACTGTTCTTTAACTGTACCTTCCACACTCCCTGTCTCAGATCCAAACCACCACCCACACCCCTCACATCCCTGCCCTCCTGTGTCCACAGAGGCCGACTTGGCTCAAGCCGCTTTGCGTCTTTTGGGAAATCTTCACCAACCTCTTAGGGAAAGCATTTTTTTTCCTCTTAAAAGGTCTTGTTAAATTATATTTTTTTAGTCATAGATGTGCACCAGGAGGAAGAAAACAAAACTTGTCAGGTAGGTGCTTGATGGCCACTGTCAGTAGCAGTTTTTAAAAGACATTAAATATCGGAGATTCTATACCTTCTGAAGAGCCCAGAGTATTTTGAGGAAGGATCTAGGCCAGTGTCCGCTTTCTGTACCAGGATCCTGTCCAGGACACCACATTACGTTCAGTTGTCATGCCTCCCTGGGCTCCCCTTGGCTGTACCATTTTGTCAGACTTCCCTTACGTGTGAGGGCCTTGGAGGCATCACTGGTCAGGGACGTTGTAGTAGGCCCTCTACTGGAATTTGCTGGTTTTTCTCATGATTAGATTGTGGTTACTGGTTTGGGGAAGGAAGATCACAATAAAGTGCCATTTTCACTATGTCATATCAAGTGTACATACTCAACGTAATCTATATGGGTTTAATGTTGACCTTGGTCACCTGTCCTAAGTTGTACTTACCAGGTTTCTCCACAGTAGAGTCACTCTTCCCTCTCCCCTTCCCCCCAGAAGTCACTATGTACAGCCCACGTTCAAGGATTCAAGGAGCAGGAAGTTCTGTTCGCCCTGTTCATTTTGAGCTGTCAGGGAAACAAGCGGGCCTTCTCTGTGGGTGGAAGCAAGTGGAATCCTTGGTTAAGCATATCAGGAGCTTGCTTATTTCCTAACCCCACCCCCCAACTCTGCTATTACATAGTAAAATTGGAATAGTTGTCTCCATTTTGTGCTTTTTCACTTTTTAAATTTATAACAGTTTTTCCAACACAAAAAGTTGTGAAAATTACAATGAATACTTGAGTACCCACCACGTAGCTAAGTAAAACAGACACTGCTGTTGAAGTTCCTTTCCCATTTGGATCACTTTCTTTAGGGTCTTCCCATGTGTCTCTTCATAGTCATACAACCTGTTTAGCCTTCACATACAGTCCTTTTGTGCCTACTTTTATAGAAGTGATGTCATGCTTGTGTGCTGTTTGGCAGCTAAACTGCTTTTGCTTCAGTAGGATTCATTCATGTTTGTTGTATGTAGTTCGGGTTCATTTTCATGGCTATATATTCATTGAGTGACAATTTTATACTTGTTCTTTAGTTTATGGATATTTAAGTTATTTCCTTTACTTTTTCTTTGCCATTATTGACAATGCTGCCGTGACCACTCAGAAATAGGCCTCCGTGTGCGCCTGGGAGAGTTTCTCCAGGGCAGTGTTTTCTCACCACTGGCGCCACAGAAGAATCCATCAGAATGACGGGAGTGAAATGCATCTCGTGGTTTCAATTAGCATTTTCCTTATTACTGGTGAGATTCAGTATCTTCTCACATGCTTACCAGCCATTCCAGTGTCCTCCTTGGTGAATAACTTGTTTGACCAGGATGTTCACATTTTTCTCATTTATTTATAGAAGTTTTTTATTCAGGATATTAATACCAAGTGGATAATCTGTGGTGCAGATTTCTTCTCATGATTTGTGACTTCTCTTCAACTTTGTGATACTGTGATTAACTGAAGTTTATCATTATGATACAGACAAATGTATACATAGCAGATTCTTTTTTATCTGATTTTGAAGTTTCTTCTGCCAATTTTTTCATTTGTCCACTTACATTTTATTTTTTCCTTTAACTTACTACTTTACTCTCTGTGCTTTATGTTTTCTTCCACTGAATTATAACACTGTTTCTGTTCATTTAGTGGTTACCCCTCAATTTTTCTTTGTGCTTATTTAACATAAAGTCTTAAGTTGTTCAATAGCTTTGTCCTTTCTCTGTACCACACAGGGAATTTAGACTCTAGTCACCCTACAATCTTACATGTTTTTTAATATTTATGTATTTATTAATTTTTAGGGAGAGGGGAGGGGAGAGAGGGAGAGAAACATCAATGTGATAGAGAAACATCCATTGGTTGCCTCTCACACACACCCCAATGGGAACCAAACCTGCAACTCAGGCGTGTGCCCTGACTGGGAATCAAACCAGTGACTTAGTTTTGCGAGACAGTACCCAACCAAGGGCCATGCTGGCCAGGGCCTCCTCCTTGTCTCCGCCTCCTACCCCGATCAGTCATTATCATTTTTTTAATAGTCAAGATTTGTTGAGATTTTGTTTCTGAACTATGTAAAATACAGAGAAACTGAAATAAGCACAATTTGTGGTAGTTCTTTACCTTACAATAATATTCCGCAAAGACCGTGTTAGAAACAGAAGCCCAGAGAAGGTTCATGGCAGCATGTTAACCTGCACAATTAAGCTGAAGTACAAATGTAAGGGAAGATTTAATAAAAGCTTGGGATGAAGCAACACCATCACCATCATGATGCCAGTTTCCAAGCTGAGTCACTAAAGCAGTTTTTCGTTTGAGGGGCTGGAAGGTAGAGGGAAAAGGAAGTCTACTGTCACCAATTTTCTAGAGCAAATGCAACTTGTGTTGTACATCCAGAGACATGTTTTATAGGAAACGGTGGAAGGCAGACTTAGGGGGTTCGTTTTCTCAAGACACGAACTGCACAGTGCTCGCAGGTTTCAGACAGCAGGGTCCTCATGCTCCCTCATAGCTGCTGCAGTTGTCTCCCTGAAAGACCACAGAGCTTGCCAATTCCACTGCTACAACTTCCAAGCTTGATATCCATTCTTTTGTGTATTAAGGTGGTCTGTTGCTTTGTGGTTCCCCCAAAACTTGATTTAGTTAGATAAATGGATGGTTAAAATTACATTCGAAGTTAACAAAACTGAATTTCAGCTTTA